AGCCCTGCCAAACCATCAGGCACAGCCAGGAAGGTGATTATTTTTTTTTTTCCCTCATCTGTTTGCTTTTGTGCACCCCCTCGCCAAAATAATCCTGGAAATACTACCAAAAAAAAAAAAAAAGGAGGGGAAAAATAGGAAAATAAAAGGCCAGAGAGCGAGCGAGAGCGGAGGGGAGAGCACTCAGCATCTCTGCTCGGCTCCGCCGCCTCCCGCCGAGTGAAATGGAGGCAAATAATGCCCTAAAGCTCCTTTTCCGAGCAGAGCAATCAGCCCGCCGGGTTCAGAGGGGCTGCAGAGCTCTGTGCTGGAGCACTCACCAGGAGGGTCACGGCTTCACCCCACCAAACCCCCCAAAACCTGGAGCTGCTGGGTACCCGCCGAGGGGCCGGCACCACTCCAGGGCACCCCCAACCCTCCCCATTGCTCCTGTCCCCACCGGAGGAGGACAGGGACAGACTGGCAGCGTGTGATTTGGAGGGGATGAGGGTCCATTCAGCCCCATCCCGTGGATTTGGCACCTTGGGAACGGCCGCTCTCCTCCTTTTTGCCCCTGGGGAGGTGGCAGCGCATCCTCTGTGCCACCCACCTGTGTGTGCCCTGTGTTGGCACGGGGACAGGGGATGCTGGGGGCTGCCCCAGAGCTATGGGTGCACCACTGGGAACCCTCCCTCTGTGCCCCAAACCAGCCAAGACCCCATGGGCACATGATGAAGCATCCTAAGCGATGGGGCAGGGGTGCTGCGAGGGCCCCAGAGGGATGGGTAGAGGTTCAGGGAGGGGTCTCACCCTGCGGGGAGGACACGGGGGACCAGCATCACCTCATCCCCCCGTGCCTCCCGCTGCGGGGGGAGCGTTCCCGGGCGCAGGTAACATTTGGGCACATTCCCATAACCGAGTGCTGCCAACTGCTGCGGCGGCGGGGCCGGAGCCCCCTCTCCAGCCCTGCTGTTTGCTTTGCAGCCTCCTTAGCCCCCATTGAGGCTTTTCAGCTCCGGCCCCTTCAGGGGGTTTAAGTAGGTAAAACCTGAGGAAGAGGCTATTTTCCTCCCTCCCTTTTGAGCCCTGCCTTGTGCCCAAAAGGCCCCCTTGTTTCACGCGTGCCAGTCACCTGGCTGGGCCCCCAGCCCCTTTCTCTCCCAGCCTCCCCTTTCTTTCTCCTTTCTCTCTTTTGACTTTTCCAGGAGCCCTCGCTCTCCAAACGAGCTTCAGATTGGATCCAGATTGAGGTCCCTTTGTCTTTCAAGGGTTGTACTAAGCTAATTAAATGTGATCCCAACAAATAAACGCAGATCTCCCCATTACATTCAGGCCTGCCTTTCAGGCAGCACCGGGCGGCCCCTCGCCCCCGCCCGCTGCGCACAGGGTCCCCCTCATTGAGTCCTGGCCATTGAAAGCACTGCCAGGATTTCTTTTGTGCCGGGGGTCTCCGAGCCCTTTTTCCATCAGAAAAGACCCCCAAACAGCAGCTCGGCCTTTGTGAGTTTGCAAGCAAACGCCAAAGAAAAGCCCCCTGAATGCTTTAATAAATGACACATTTAGCAACTTCGGAGGCGCCTGGCTCCTGCGGCAGCCGCAGGGGTGCAATGATCCCTCCTGCCCCGGCTCCCCCGGCACCCGCAGGGGTGCAATGATCCCTCCTGCCTCCCCCCTTCCCTCCGGCTACCGGGGCATTTGCAGCCCGTGGAGGTGCGGAGGACACCGCCGAACCACCCGACCGCCTCGGCTCCCAGCCCGGCTCTCGCCGCCCTTCCCCTTCCCCCGGCGCTCGGCGGGGCGCACGGAGCAGGGGATGGGGTCGGCCGGTCCGCACCGCGCCGGGCCCGGGTACCAGGGCGCCGGGCAGCGGGCAGGGCTCCGCGGGGCGGCCGGGGACGGGGAGCTTTTCAACTCGCACCCCGTGAGTCCCTTCTCCTGCTATTAGCGCCGGCAAATCCAAAATCGTCTTTAATGAGACACCCCCCCCCCCCCGGATCAGGGGCTGCGCTGGACTTTTCTCAGCTCAACTAATATCTTTTTAATGACTTTGGGAGGGGGCAGAGCCCGGCTCTGCCCTAGAGCCTGGATTGCTCCAAACAGATGTTGGGGCAGAGGGTGGGGAGGGGGGGGGGTCTCCTCCCCG